CCATGCTAAAAGTATTTTTTATCACCAGGTACAGTTATTCACATGCCAATTTGGCTGAACTGCCCTAAAAGCAATTGGAAGATTTAAAACCTGCTTTAAAAATGAGTTCCAGTCTACAACACTGAGTGATGGGCAGGAAATCTACCAATTCAGCAGCTTGAAAAATGTCTGAGCCATGGGGGCTGAAGATGAGTGCAAGTAAGGACAAAACAGCAAAATGGAGAAATTTTTCACATCACTGACTTGTGAGACCTACTGTGACAAAGCAGGGCAGTTTTGCAGCCTTAGTGGTAGGTTTCTAAGAATATGTGGGGTTTTAAGTACTGTTTTTACTGAAGTGCTTGTCAGCCATATTGTAATTTCTAAGATTAGGTACAGTGAGATCCTGTTTGTATAAAATTTGCATCCTGTAGTAAGCACATTTATTACAAAGCACTGGGGGACTCTGCTTTCCTGTGCCCAAATTGCTGAAGGTAATTCACTGAGCATGTGCACTTTTGCCTCACTTTGTCTATGTAAACTACAATCCAGTATAGTTAGTATATGCAGTAATTGGAAACTTCACAGTCACATCAGGCAGAGAAAGAAGGCAGAGCTTCTGAAAGATCTCTTGGAAGTGAGAGTGAAGCCACTAGTTACATGAGAGGAATTTCTCTGAGCGAGGAGTCATCGTGAGAAAAACATCAAGAGAGCTGTCCAGAGGGATTGTCTAATGCTGCCTGGCTGTGTTTAATAACTGGTTATCTCCTCCTTTTATGTAACTTGATAGAATTATTTTTTATAGTGCTCAGAACAAATGATTGGTGGGATCTATGGTGTGCTGAACAGGAAGAGGGGATACGTTTTTGAAGAATCCCGTGTCCGGAACGCCAGTGTTTGTGGTCAAGGCATATCTACCTGTAAACGAGTCATTTGGTAAGATGATGCTTTTGTTATCCACATGCAGTTAAAGAAAGACCTCTGTGGGATCAGAGACACTTAAGAATTCCTGTTTTATTAGCTCCCATTTTCTTCCTGTTGTCCCTTTGCATCTTCAGTTCAGAACAAAGTTTACTCCTTTTTTCCAGGCAGCATACTCCATTGGGCTTCTGTGACAGCAGAGGGTGCCTAAAAGATGTGGCAGCTTCTGCACATCAAGACCTCCCACCGTAGACCAGATTCAGTTTCTATCATTTTAAATCAAGGTCTTCCTTCGAAGCAAGCCTGGAAGGAAGACTTGGCCTGCAACAGCTGGCTAGAAAATTTGGTATCAGTTTGAATCTTTAAAAGAGTTCCAGCCTGAGTAGCCTAAATGGCATTACACCCTCTTGCCAGTCTTAAGTCTACCTTTAAAATAATGACCTGATCCTTCTTACACTGCCCCCGAAACTTCAGCTTGGCTACAGTGTGGTACAAAGCCCTTCCTATGGTATTGTGTTTTGTTTGTGTGTCCCATTTCTCTCCTCCCCACTTAAAAATGCACTTCAAGAGTATCCTGTGATATTGTGACAGAAAGTTTACCAGTTCCATTGGGCGCATTTGGAACTACTTACACAGTAAAACTGTAAGAAATGTCATGTTTTATTTTAGACGGGGCTTCTTTGCCAAACTACATTAGTATGGTAACTGCTAAAATAATCAGTGATAAAATAAGAGATGCTTAACTTTTAAAGTCTAAACTGGCAATTTAAATTCTTAAAAGAACAATTTACACATGTGCTTGTATGGCTGGATTTTGAGTGGGTTTTTTTTTCCCCTTCTCCAAGTTTCCATAGAGTATAAAGAAATTTCATAGAGAGACCCATTTTCCAAACATAGAAAACCAAAAAGAAGTGTAAGCTTAGACTTGGTAGGATGTGTATTAGACTGGGTTCAGTCTCAGCTTACACAGCACATTAACTTCCATACTCTGAGTAGTGGCCTTTCTAGTTTCTTGCCAAAGCTGTTGTTGAATCTTGCTAAGTGATCTCACGATGTGAGGAAATACCAGTACTTTTGTAAACTAGTGGTTAGAGGTGTTTCTACAGTAGCAAAATCTCAGTTCACCACCAGCAGCTCTTTGTGGGACTGAATACTTGAGAGAAGGAGATGACACTGCTATGAAGATGAGGAAATGGGAAAGGAAACACCTAAATGTAAAGTTCCTGTACTGTCAGGCAAATTGTTGTGTTAGCCCGGTATCTTGTTCATGACAGTGACTGAAAGTGAGCGCTTAGGGAAGAGAAAGAACAAGGTAAGATGGTGTAAAACTTCCCCACTTGCTTTTTTATAACCACTTCCAGAGGCTTCCCGGGGCAGAATCGGCTTCTAGATCAATTTAGGAACCCTCAACAGATTTCTTCATGAAGTTACTCAGCCTCCCCCTCTGTGTAAAACGTCAGCATCCACAGCACCGGCACGGATTTCCTCCGAGCTGGATGTGTGAGGAACTGCCTCCGTTTGTGTCGCTTGAACCTGGCTCCTGCTAGCTTCAGCGGGTGCTTCCTTTGTATCACGAGGAGCATAAGCTCATTCTGATCTTTATCCGCTGTGTACACGTCACTTAATTTTTAGACCTCTATATCCTTCCCACTACGTTGCTGCTCTTCCCGTGCTGAAGAGTCCTGGCTTGCCAAGCGTGTTTCTTTGTGTGGAAGTCAGTTCAGGGCTTTGGTCACCCGTATTCCCCTCCTCTGAACCTTTTCTGAGTAACTGCTTTTGTAAGAAAGGAACCACAACCGCACAGCTGTATAATAAAGGGGCAGGCTTTTGCCCGACGTGATGTTTTAGTTTTGGTTCCTTTCCTAACAGCTGCTAGCTCCTGATTTCTCCTTTTGACTGGTGCTGAACGTTGAACTAACACGTCAGTACTACTGACCATAACCCCAGGATCTCAGACTGAGGGGTAGTGATCTGTTTAGCATAATTTTCCCCATATACTTTTCTATCTAAATTGAATTTTATTTGCCGCCTTACTGCTGATTTACTTGGTCACACAAGATCTTTCTGTAGTTTTTTGGAGTTGGCCTCCTTTTTACCTGAATTACCTGAAAAGTAGCAGTTTCTTAACAGTACTGTACCCAGGTTCTGCAAGACTCTTTTCAGGGTTTTGTCTATGCATAAATTCACAATAAATTAGTTTTATTTTTTCCTGGGTTCGGCTCATGCCTGTTTTTTTTATTTACTTCCTACTAGGTTTTCCTGCCAACTTGAGATCCAGCAGTGGCGTCCAGGCTTTTCCACATTTGATCACTGGCAGATTTTGCCTGGAGATCCTTATGATGCAAGTTCTCGTCCTTGGCAAGTTGTGGCTGAAACGTGTAAACACAGAGTCTCAAAGGGAGGGTATTCCACCTCTGGATAATTTCCTAGATATATTATTTTTAATCACTTCTGTTTCATGTTGTGTGATGCATTGCCCAGTTTTGTCCTGCTACTGTTTCCTTATAAAACCAGGAAGGAAATGGCAAGTTTTGAGAGTGCCACATTGAAAACACACACACACACAGTGTTAACATGTTGTGATGATGGCATTATCACCTACTAAAATAAAAATGCTGTGCTAATTTGATGTATGGGACTGTTGCCTGTATCTTGTTTGTGGTCACTGATGCCTCTGTCAAAAATACCTATTTAAAAAAAAAAAATAAATCAGTTGCCCAAGACTAATGGTGTTCTTTATTTTGCCTAATCCACAACTGTCTTTTAAACTAGGAAGCAGCTCCCTTTGTTGTTGCTCTTGCAAAAATTCTTGTTGAACTGTCAGGTTTTGTCCTCTCAGCCAGAAGATGCATTCTTTTGTTCCCAAACTTGAATCCCCTGTGCTACTGAAGACTGATAGTGAAAGGCTTGCAGTTACAGGTAAGCTTTCTAGCATTCAGCACCTAGATTAAAGGCAGATACAGAAAATCCCCACTACTGTTGGAAATGCCTGAATTCTTGCTGCTGGGCCAGTGCGAAGCCTCCTGGGGCTGGTGGTGTATCGCCGGGCAGCAAAGTCCTGCCTACATGGCTCACAGTTGTTTCAGACAGCTTTGTCTGACCTGGAAGTATGAGCATCAGAAGCCAGCTCAAGTTGGCTAACAGACTTCAGGTGTGTAGTTACAGCTTTTTCTGGAACCAGTGTGTCAGCAGACAGCTCACTTCCAGAAAAATATGTAGCAAAAGGCTGGGTGGGGAAAAAAATGTGCCAGCGCTTGCAGCGTGACTTTCATTGCATGCTGGATCTCTGTGCAGTAGAGGGACTCAAGTCTCACAAGCTTTGCTTTCCTTCTGCAAAGGGTTGGGCTGAATGTACCTTCGCTATAGGCTGCTCAGAGCAGTAACCACGTATTTCCACAGTGGAAACGACGAGGTAAGAAGTCATCTGGCCTTTTTTCCCCAAGACTTTTCTCACGTTAGTTCGTGGATAGACGTTCTGATGCCTTTTAAAACTTGTTGAAGGAACAATAAACCAAAAACTCATCGAGCTACAAGGGAGAGGTTTGCTTTGAGCAGGGCTAGAGTGCTGCAGGCCCTGGCTAACTGCAACCCCTGCCCCCTCTCCGCCGGCGCATGGAACGGGTGCCGTGGCTGCACTGCACCACTCCAACCCCTTGCTGCACGCCATCCACAAACTCGAGTGAACAGGGGGGTGGGGATTTAGCCATGCCACAAGCCTAGGAGCTTCCTACTGTGCGTGCAGCAGTGTTGCAGGCTGCTTGCCTCACACCACAGCTGATGAGAATCGAGGGCTCCCCCCAAGGGGCAGCATTCAGGTGCCTGCGCTTTGCATTTGACCGTGCTGTCGGGGGAAGAAGGTTGAAAGCCAAATGCAGCTGCAAAACTCCTGCCCAAAACAGCTGGAGAACACCACCATACCTCAGCCATGATGAGTAACTACTAAACAGGGCACAATTTTCAGCTTAATTCCAGCCGTATTTTGTAATACCATGAAAGGTTTGGAGCACATGTCCCAAAAATGGCATTTACTTTTCTGACACACACGCCTGAGTCACACTTCAGTTTGGTGTATGAGAACAAACATCATCTTCAGCAACAGGTAACAGTTTTAAACACTTTATTCAGAATTACTCTGGAACCTCTCTCCACAACCTACTTATGGTTCAAGTCACTGTGCAATTATGAGGCAGAAAGCACAGATCTGCTGCAGGCCGTTAGGAAAAAAATTCAACATGCTAGAAACTGATCTTTAACAGGTACAAAAAATTCAACAAGGAAAGGAGAGGAAAAACTGGATGCAATACCAAGACCAACACGTAACTTGAAAACTGCTATGAAAGATCATAAGAAAAAAGGCAACGAGGAATATTAATGCTGCATTAAAGGTGGCAGTACAGGGCAGACACAGGTTGATACATCCTGCTTCAGCATTTCTTATCCAGGTGCTTTGTTCAAATACTGTAACAGTAATGGAAGGGAAAAAGCACCAGACAGCTGACTGAAGAAATAAGAAAAAAAGGAACACAAAATTAGTAAAAGTGAAAGCTGGTAATTAGGGAAGGAATAATCTCAAATACAGTTACTCAACAGAAACACAACACTTGGAAAACCTGCTAGGTCAACATATATAGACAACAGCATTGTTCCAACTCTATGGCAATGATTTTCCTTGTCTGTAACCTCTTCCATATACAGTACTGCTGAGGTTACCCTTAAGAGATATGTGGGGAGATGCTGCATACACACAACAAAGCAGCAAATGCAGAGGAGTAGAACAGGAAAAAGCTACTCCAGCGAATTAGAAAAGCCACAGTTAAGAGGCTACTGTGATGTGGGACAAACCACTGTTAAGCCCTAAACACCTCCTTCCAGTTAGGTGGGAACACTACTGCAGCTACAGCTTTTATCTTCCAAAAAGCCGAGCTTCCCCTGTTGCAAGTTGGAGTGTGGTATTTTCAAACAGAATACAGCAGTTACTGAGGTGACAGAAGCCAGGAGCAAGAGATACCAGAAAATAATCCTGGAGAAAGTAACTCCTATTCTTTCTCCTTATAGCTGCCATAGGAAGCATGCACTTCGCCATCTGGTGAGGGGTGGCAGTTCCAAAGAGGGCCACCAAGGACTTTATAATCTGAATGCTTTTTTTCTATCACCTATTAAAGTTAACAAATCAGAAATGCAACTACAGCTCAACTGTGCATAGTTGGGAGTTTTTGGTGGTGGGGAGGTAACCTCCTTCTGACATGACAGCACACAGATTGTGTAATGCAGGGTTTGCATAGATTGTTTATCCCCACCCCAGCCCAAAGAACATTAAGAGGAAGAAGTCACAGTTTAGGATTTTGTTGCATTTGTGAAAAACATGAGATTAGAAGAAGAAAAAAACCCAGTCTCATTTACAGAGGCTTCCCCTTCATCCCTGGGTAACTGGGATGGGGGGAGCAAGGGACGTACACCACACGTCATGCCTACTTTAAAGCTTCATTGTTTTAAATGAAGTTTTTTATAGGTCCCAGTGAAAATACTAAATTCAACAACACACACACCTCCACATCTTTATCCAGGTTGCTGTTCTAGAGTGGTTAAGTGCCTTTTTTATAAAAAAAGTTTGTCTTTACATTATTGCTGTGTATTACAACAAAACTAAACATTTGTAGACTCCACTTGGGAACAAGAAGTCATTTTTTTCCAGAACAAGCAAAGAGCATAAATGCACGTTCTGAACAGAACTCTTCTGTACCAACTATTTAATGAATAGCAAAAACAACAACAAAAAAACCCCCAAACAACCTTCCTAGCGTAGATAAATCTACTCCATTTTCCAGAAGGCAAATCCTTTCAATAAATATCAGAATAACTTCTGAGATGCTAGGAGTTCCAGAGATAGACGCAGCAGCTTCTATGCCATTCTCCCACAGACCCATGCTTCAATCCAGTGAGATGATGTCGGGAGCGCTGCCTCTGCTGCTGGTTATCACTCCGTCCTCGCCTCTGCTGGAGGAGCTAACATGCGTGCTGCTCTCGTGGTGACTGGTTGATGTGATGATGCTGCCAGGGGTGCTGCTTGTTAAGGTTGAGGTGAGACTATCCAAAAACATAGGAGGACAGTACTGCTTGAAACAAACAATGAAGAATGAAGAGACTAACTGCACAAGGGAAATGTATGCTTTGAAGATACATCTTCCCTACAGCAAGCACAAAGCACATTACAAGCAGAACCTCGTTAACACATGCATAGCAAGAACCAGAATTCTGCAAATCAGCAAGTAAGCAAGCAGAGATGGTAGCCACAAGCCCTTCTCTCTCATTCCCCCTCTCCCCGCACTTTTTTTTTTTTTTTTCTTACTAACTGGTTAGCTTCAACATTTACTAGCACATTAAGAAACACTATCCTGTCCACATGATGACCACAAAAATAAACCACCTTTGCATTTGGAGAATGTTCACTGCTACTGGGCACAACAGCATATTTCAGGCTCCTTTCACCACCAAATTAGCAGAATGCTTTTTGCTACTTTGGTGGAGGCTGGAATAATTACATCCTCTCAAATGGCAACAGCTGTACTAATCAACATTTTCACAGTATATACCTGCAATAATACATGCAGGTCTCTACACATCTTAGCTGTGATAAATGAGCCCTGATCAAGTCTGATTAAGAAAAATTACTAAGTTGATTTAAATTTCCAGAAGGGGAAGACAAGCCTTCTCAGCGCAGAGCTGAACATTCTAAGTATTTAGAAACAGTAAGGTTGCCAGGTGGAAGATAATGTAAGATTGTCCAAGAGGACACACACCCCCCTTCAACACACCTTACTTTCTTTTATTCTGTGGATTCCAAACTTGGGCATGTGTTTGGACCTGAGCCTGAACTGTTTGAACTGTCCAAAGTGGACACTTCGTAGCAGCATACCTGCTTCCAGGCTCCCACGTGAACAACCTTCCCTTAGTCCCACTTTTGGCAGTTCAGCGCTCAAGGTCAGGCACAGAGTACTGCACAGAGATTGCAAGTGGAAAGAAAAGGAGGAAGTTCACTCTTTGTTTTTGAGGCACCAGAAAGTCAACTCTACAGTAGAGTCCTATTACTGTTGCCTTCTAGTGACAGAGATGAAACAGAGGGTCTGCCTCAGATCCTCTTGGCCTAGTTAGGGAGTTGATATTCCCTCACATTTCAGACCTGTAGTCTGTGTAAGAGTCTAGTTACATTAAGATTCATTCTCCCTAACAGTGTGAAGTTTAAGTATCCAGGGAAAGAAATGCACTGCCTGGTTACTTCTGACCTACAAAATTTCCATATAATCCAAAATCAATGGGTTTTAAGTGTTACATGGAGGGACATTGTAAGTGTTCAGTCATGTGCCAATCAAATTAATGAAGATATTTTCTTTAAAACTTAATCTCCTCCTTATATCAAACCCAACAGAAACAGCAGTCAGTAAAGTATATTTAGAGAGCTTAATCTGGCCTACAAGCACAGAGGAGTATGAAGTACACACTGGGTGTGTCCAAGCTAGTGGTGTGCACATATCCACTTTAGAATAGCAAACTATCAATAAAGACTGAGTTTCCATGCCTGGATTTATCCTAAATAGGCTAAACTGAACCCTCCCTTAATGCTTCTTCATTACCACCTCTTGTTGGGAAAATGGATTTTCCTGGCCTGTGGTTAGGTCTAAGCAAGTGGACTGCAGACATGGTACGGATGAGGACAGCACCCTGATAGTTACTTGAACAGAATGTCACAAAAAACAGACTTGGAAATTAACCCCATAGCAGTTCAGAAACATACCTGTGAATCCACTGGAATTAAAGAAAGAAAATCCAGACCTAGAAAGAGGAGAAGGATCATAAATTGACACGTCTTTCTTTTAGTCACGCACAACAAATTCAAGGAACTTTTTTGTGGTCGTTGAACAGACTTTGGAATTGTTACACAGTTTCTAAATGGAATATACCACTGTGACACCACTCTCAGTAACTACTTCAGGCAGCAGCAAAACAAGGTATCTAGTACAAGTGGCTCTTTTTAAGAATGAGAATGACATAATGATGTATTATTCACTGGATATTCCAGGGTGGTTCAATGTGGTTGCTTAGATGGAGGTTACCATTTGGAGCTGTTGGTTCATAATGCACGTTTCACTGCATATTGTACCTGACTTGGCCAAACTGGGACATGAAGAGTGTCATCACATTAAAGATGCTGGAATGAAGTAAAGTCACAACATGCACAAGTCCAAAAACAAGCAGCAGGTCTCTTCCTCCACCCACGGGCAGCCAATAAGGAAACATTTCTAATATCATCCCCGTTTTGTGTCTAGACAAATAAAAGGAACGAAGAAGAGGAAACTACAAGTAGTTCAAGGTATATCCTCTAAGAGCAGTGACAACTAGTGTCCATCTTATACACCATTAGCGTGTAAGCATTTAGGGCAAGATGTTTAAAATTGTGAAACCAATGAGAAATTACAGCCTTTTTGTTTTGATTCTAAATATTGGCCTTGTGTTTGCTATGTCAACAGAAAGAAATGGTAAACTTACTCCCTCCCTTTCCCCTCACCTCCAGATCTGTTCTGGCCAGTGGCATCTCTCCTCCTCTTCTCCATTAGAGAAAAATTTTGAAGGAAAAATTTTTTTTAAGCTTAGCTGCTTTTACAGAATTGACAGCTTCTTTTGTTCTTGCACATTCCAGAACTTCAGTCAATAGTGACAGACAACAGTTCTAGACTTCCATTCTCTCAGCTTACTCTGCTATCCAATTTGGGAAAACAACTGATTTCTTAATAAGGGAGAAGTGGAGGGAGGGAGCAGTAAGGGAACCAAGATGGACAGAGAAACAAGGGGAGTGATATCCATCCCACTGCCAAACTGGTGCTAAAGAAGAGGAAAAAACCCAGAGGTGTCGCAGGGGAGAAATGGAGACAGGCAATGGAGGGGGACAGGGATGTACAGGAGGCCAATGTGACACCTTCCACAACAAGTCACCATTTCCTGGGCTCTGGGTTCATTACAGCTGGCAAAGAGAACCCCCCAGAGTCCCTTTATACAGTGGGCTTTTCAAGGAGCCAGGATAGAAAACAATCAGTTTCCCCACCTTTTGTCTCATATTTAGCAGCAGTGTTGAAGAATACATCATAGGCATTTAGGGTATGTCTAGGTAAAGAAAGTCAATAGAGGTCAGCTTACATATTGTAGCTCACCTTAACCTTTTTCATACAGTCTAGACAGAGCACCAACAGAATCAGCTAGCAGAACATCTCTACATCTAGGGTTGGGATGAGTCAGTGCCATCACACCTCTATAACTTAAATAAGGCAGCTGCTCTCCCTCGCATCTACAACACATAACAACAGGATGTTTACACAAAGTCTAACTGAATGCAGCGAGAAGTGTTTCTGGCTGCTTTTCCAAAGTGCCAATTTGTACCCCAGAAGCAATGTTTTTCACATCACTATTGCGAAGTGCATCTGAAACTGGAAAGACAGCCTCTACTGGACTTCTCTAGACATCGCATCAGTGCAATACTGCATATAGTCTTGTTCCATTAAAACAAAATGCTGATCAATTCTCCAATTTCTACCCACCCCACAATAATAAAACTGTCAGAATATGCATTAAAAAGAGTCATCACCTACCTGGCAAGTCTGATGAAATGCCAGACACCGGTGGGTGATGGAATGGTACTGGGTAGTCTGTTAACGAAGGAGGAATAGCAGCAGCACCAACCGTTGTCATGTTGGGCCTTCTGGCAGCAGATGGCTGATACATGAGAACCCTGTTTTAAACAGCATAGGAAATTACAAACAACCTGGCTGTTAGTTACAGAAGTGAAATAATGCACCGCTGCGCACTCTCATTCACAAGGTCACTGTGTTACAACACAACCCTAGCGCGGCTACTCACTACAGTACTGCACTCCGATTTCCTTTCATAACACTCTTCGTAACAACATGACCATACCTTGGCTCTCAACAGCAGCTGCGACATAGGAGCAAGTTGGCATTAAAACAAAGTACAGTGCTGGAGTCGTCATAGTCTACCATTTGAAGACAGAAAGGGAAATCTGTATCTGTGGAGCACCCTAGGAGGGATGTGCAGGTAGTGAGAGCTGGGAGGAGAGCACTCGCTTCAATTGCTCCACATAACTGTTCCTTGGTGCCAACCTATCATGCCAAGGGCACAACTTGACCATGATTCAGCCCCTGGAGCACAGATTACACGCATGGGGCTTAAATATCAAACCCGTATTTATTCACAGCCTGAGCCTAGGCTAAATTCGGCTCTCCAAGAGCATGCAAATAGTTAAAAGCCTTCTGCATCCCCACCTTCTGCTTGATTACTTCCCAGCACTCTTGAAGACAACACTACAGGTGTTCAGGCACCAGCCACGTGCATCAATTATTCCATAAGCTCCAAGTCGGGTGGAAACACCTGGAGTCCCACTCCCAGCTGCTCCGCATCACTCCCTCCAGCCCACCAGCCATGAGTGTTACACACTCACGTCTTCCTCCCCAGACTGCTGCATTTATGCTAATTCCAATTTCAGCAGCTTGGATTTCAGACCCTCCCTTTTCAAGCACCTCTTATGCTTCAGCCTATGTGGCTTCTGCCTATAGGAAGACACCCCACAGTTTTGCCAAAACTAACATTCAGGCAACACTGTTTACAGGAGGTAAGCTATTCCCCAGAAGCCTGGCTTTGACTTGGATTTGAAGCATGAAAGCATGCTGCTTCCATACCCAAACAGTAAGGAAAATACACTGGTCACAGACAGACAAGAAAGCTCAGTCCTTCTACAATTATGGTTGCAGGTAGAGATATCAGACAAACACTGGAGCATGGAAGGAAGTCTTGGTGCCTTCTGAAATGTCATTAAGAGATGTATTTGTAGCTATTTTTTCTTCTAAAAATAAGGAACAGTCTCTTGCAGAAGGACTCCTCCACAATCCTCACAAAAAGCAACAGCATTTCACTATCACTGCTGCAAGTTGTTGAAGCTATTTGCTCCCCAAAGACCACACATTCCTGTGGACTAAAGACACAGTACAGTACCTGCTCATTACTTCAAGAGCTAGCAGAACAGAAGGGCTTTGTTTTTATTGCTGTTATTTTAGTACAAGACATAAGCCAATACACTGAAAGACACAGACACACCCGTCGTGCATGCAGCAACACTAACTAATAAGCCACTCCTAAAAGCTGAGGCTTGGAAACGCCTCACCCAGCAGTGGTTGCTGGTGAGCCTAACCAGTGCCCCTCTCTCTCCCGCAGGTGTCCAGCGCCCGACGGGCCAAGAGCAAGAACTTTATGGAAACCACAAACAGCAACTGCAGCTGAGTTGCACGCACTGGGACAGAAAGAAAAATCACAACAGTGAAGAAGGTGGTTAAGCCTCCTGCTGAAGTCAGGCATGACTACAGAGATGGAACAGCTGACAGAGGACTCGGGAAGTTGCTGGTTGTGCTAACCAAGGCACAGAACTGACTGATAACTATGGCCAACAAACTCTGGAATGTCTCAGACACTTAACAAGAGAGATGGAGGAAAAGCTTGACTTGATTCAAAACAGCAAAGCATCTACCTTCCAAGAGTGACAGGATGGATGAAACATACAGTGCAGCCTGTTTTCCTGGGTACTGGAGAAGATCAGATAAAGGGCATAACAGACAGCAAGAGAAAAGCCTTTAAAATGACACTAACTTAGGAAGAATGAATAAAGCTCTTCCACTTGGCATAACCTGCTTTCTCAGAAGAAGCTTGTCCATTAGCTTAATCAGCTTCCTTTTCTATGGAGAAATATCCCTGCAAACACAGGAACAGTGACTGCAAGATTGTGAGATGTAAAACTATTAATAGTGTTTTGCCTGTAGAAAGGTACTGTAGCAGCACAACCTTCTGCAAGGAGAAGCTTAGAAATTCTCTGCAAGTGTGGAGCTGGACCCCAAAGAAAGATTGCAAGTCCATTTGTCTAAATATCAGTTTTTCTGAGACATTACAGAATAACAGCTAACTTAAAATTGGCAAACCCTTCGGTTGGGCTTTCCTGTGTTTCAGACATAAGTACGCACCTCCTTTTGGTAGGAGGATCATCCTCTTCACCAGAAGAGCTTTCTACAGTCAAATCAATAACGTCAGCTTTCTTCTTTACTTCACTGGTCACTGTCACAGAACACTGTTTGTTAACAACATTGGAACCTAAACAAAAAAAATAAAATAGCACTGTTTTTTAAAGGCTGTTGATATCTGCAGTTCCTATCTGCAACAGAACCAGCAACTCAGATTCTGCTTTAGCTTATCTTCCTGGCCACTACAGAGAACGTTATGGCCCAGGAACTGTTTTAGTACTATTCTTTATCATGTTGAGAATATTGGAGCACAAGCTTTAATCTTCACTTACCAGTTTAAGGTCCTAAAACAAGTTTAAGGACCTAAAACTTTTGTTTTCTTAATGGCTACTATAAAGCAGTTAAGCCCCAAAACGCACACTGTTAGAGACACAACCCCTTCTTTCTAGTTCAAATGACAAGAAGTGGTGTTAAGCCCTCCACAAACAAACATCAGCATCCATACACATCCAGGCCACAACTACACCTCCAAGACTTTTTATTGGTTTGTAACAAGTACCCCAGATGTACATACTGTCTGTTTTGGTGCACTGTAAGTTTGAGACTTTCACAGGTTCTTTCCTTGGCCTCATAGGGCACCAGGAGCCATCTTCTTGGAATTTGATCTCATCCACATCTGAACATTCATCAAGGATTTCCATGAAAAGCCTGAAAAGTAAAGTTGAGTGCTTTAATTTCTGATTCCAAGTGAAATTTTTTATTCTAAGTGAAAAGGAGTCACAGTTGAAAAGCTAATTATGATCACCTTCAACCCACTGCATGTACTCTCTCCCTGGTTCATGCTACCTGAAAGCCTGTAATTACAGCCTTAGCTGACATCCAGACATCAACACCGAAGAGTATCCCAGTCTGCCCATATTCCACTCCGACTGCTCCAACTCAGATTTCCAAACAGAGGCAGAAATCACCATCCTTTGAATCAAATTTGACACCTGTTTTTGAGTTCAAGTTAAGTTTTAAAGTTAAAGTTTCAGAGATGAAGTCATGTAAAAGGGAGACCTATCCTTAGATGTCACATTTGGATTTCTCCAGAGAAAATATACTGAGGCTCAAGAGTTTGATGGTGTAGTTAGGAGATAAACTTGCATAGTTTGTTACAAGGGAATAGAAACCAAGAGCGTCTAATGGTTCCTCTCAGCCTAAAGTATTTTGACAAAGAAAATAGTATGAAATGGCAAAACTTCAAATCACAAAAGCTGCTATTAAGTACATCACGAAAAATTTTAAGTAACTGTGCAATCTGCAAACACAGGCTCTTACCCATCTAATATGAGGCTCTCATATGTTGCCTTTTTGTCACACACAGGGCAGATCCAGGTAGGCTTCTTTTCATTCATTTGAAGATAAAGAGCAGCATCAAAACATTGCAGGTGTGTGCAAGTAGCAGCCCGGCATGGGATCATCAGTCTCATTTTTCCCAGCTGCAGGAGATGCATTTAAAAAGTGTCAGAACAGAACAGAGTGAAGTAGGCCTGGATGGCTAACAATGAAATCAGAGGCAGTCAGTGAAGTAACTCTCCCTTCCCACTACAGAAGTGCCCAGTACCAAGGTCGCTGCAGGCAAATCCACCCTATCAAAGCACATACAATGAGCTTAAAGGAACAATAAAACCATCCTCAGCCTTCACCAAGTTGAAAACAGTCAGAAACATTTCTAATGGACCTACATCAATGTTATTTCTAGGACTTTATTAAAAGACCACTTTTATCTTTTTTTTTTTTTTCAGACAAATATTTCATGGGTTTTTGTGAGCTCCAGTTATGCTAGACTCAGAATGGTATAATAATACCCATTTTAACATTTAGCCTAACAGACCAGTCACAAACACAAGGCCAGTTTCTATCTGGGAGGAGAAACCCCAAGGCAGTGTTACCTTGTTATACAGGGATTTTTTTGGGGGGGGGGGTTATAGTAGCTGGTGGTATAAGGAATACCACCAAGATGTGGTATTGCTTATATTTTGTCACTGTATCCTTTAACTGTTCTGTCACCTTGCCCAATTAGTGTCAGTGCCTCAATATACAAAATTATTCCTCCTAAAGGCCTCACTATACACAGGAGTAGCAACTTGGTTCTAACTGCATTACAACTGTGGCACTCACAGTTCTAAACCATAGTTGGTTGAATGCTGCTACAATCCGGTGCTTATAGAGGCACCCTTCTCTCCGCTATTTTATATTAATGAATAAACAAAAGCCAGTGAAGTTTCTAAAGCGGGGTCTTTTAAAAGCAGCCCAATTCTGCACTAAAATTGAAAATACAAATCTGTACGTAGTAATTTCCCACCATACTTACAGGACACATCAGAGACACTCGCAGACTGGTTGTGGCAATCTCACTATCAGGATCTGCAGTTAGTTTTTCTTTAACTGTTAAAATAAATTAAGAAGTTATACACAGACATCATTATTTAAAATTGTAATTTTGATTTGCCGGTACATGTACTTTATTTCCAGCTATCTAAATAAATTAAGCACCCAGGAAGCTAGTTCACAGCAGGATCAAACAACAACAGTTTCACTATTTATAAGCAGCTGGTAAACACTGTGCATCACAAGATTGTTTGATGTGCAACAGATGCACTAACAGCCACAAGGGTTAGTAGAGCAAACTTAATCTAACATGCCAAGAGATGAGTTAAACAATCATCAGTGATGTACAAAGACAATCAGCATCACATGCAAGCAAAGAGAATTTAGTACATCTCCCTGCCTCTCACAGCCCACCACAGTAAGTGGTGCTCATGGCATTCCCGTAAGAGCATTTCAGATGGGATCACTAGGTGTGCTCCCTGCCAGCGCAGGGACCTGCACTGAAAAAGCACATGATGCCTCAGCAACAGCAAAGGGAACTTTTGATACTCTGGGCATGGGCTTCCTTTTCAAAATGCTGCAAATCCTCTAAGTATAACCAGTTCTGGTTTTAAAGAACCACCAAGCACCCTCAAAAAGTACAGACGGGCAAATTAATTTGACTTACTCAGTGCTCTGGAGTGATCAGGGTTTCTGATACCTTTCATTTTTAACCTCTGCAAAAGCATAGCTGAAGTGAGCTGACGAACGAGATACACAGACATGGAGTAGCTCTACAAAAAGAGTGATTAAAGATTAAATATTGATTTCATATGGTAATTCTGCTGTGACAACAGATTACTATTTACACTAGTTGCAGCATACAGTAAAAACAAAAACATGCTGATTTTTTGCTTAGTAGTTATGAAAAACATTGACAGATTACTTCAATACTGTGAAAGAGTCCGGTACTCTACCAGGATTCTCCTGCCAATCAAGTCCAATTGTCTTACTCCAGTTGTGACTTAACTAAAAAGAGTAATTCCACAACCAAGAGGCAGTCTGGGCTCTTTTCTGAGAAAAATGATTTAGACTGGTGACACAACTTCTCATACATTCAGTCTTTAAGCACTTCTCACCTTTGCCTCCTAAATCCTTCCCTTTTTTCAGTGTCAATTTGTTAGTGGGGAGCTCAAAGACAATCAGGTGACAGAAGAAAAGATAAATGGTCTTTCAGGTGCAAATATAACATCTTCAAACTGCACACAGTTGCACTAACTTCCCAGTACCTTTTCTTTAGCTTGCCCTGCACTTTTAAGCCAAGCCTCATTACATCGTATTCACTCCTGAGGCTGGCCACATTCCATAGCATTTACTACTCCTACACCACTTGCCAGCTTCTTCTGTTCAGTGTTCACTCTCTCTTCAAGGTCACTAATGAAAAGAAAATTCTGCAAGTCCCACTACTGCAGAATAATAATGGTTTCATCTGTACAACACACACAAACAGCAATCTATTTTTCCACTCCCTGCCAGCCACCTGCTTATGGCTCCTACACTGAGTATTGTGCAAGAACTTAAACAAGAACACCTACTGCCCTGTTCCTCCTTTACCACCTATAGGAAAACCAGCTCTTACCTAGATGAGCAGATAAACATCTAAATGCATGGGAAACCACAGAGAAAAATGGGTATTTTTTTTTTCCCTGTCCTGGTTGGGGCTGGCCTAGAGCTCCCATTGGTCTGGCAGCGGGAGGAGCTGCAGCACACTGAGACCCCAGGGGCTCCCCAGGTCCCAGAGCCCTCACCTGTGTGCAGGGGCGGGGGGAACACAGCTGGAGGGCTGAGCCCCAATCGGCCGATATCCCAGCCAGGAGGGGCTGCCTCTTCCAGGAGCGTTGCAGCAATGCCTTTGTGTTTGGGACCGCTGGCCGGGAGCAGCTGTATGGTACATTACCCGTTGGTACTGCTGTCAGTGTATTATTCTGTTACTGTTATTAAACTGTTTTTATCTCAACCCGTGAGTCTCCCTTTGCCCCTCTGATTCCCTCCCCGTTCCCAAGGGGGGGGAGGGTGGGTGAGCAGCTGAGGGGCGTTTAGCTGCTGACCAGGCTCAAACCACAACATTCCCTTGAAGAATGACCATACATTGCATTGTCTATTGCCTACAGAAGGAACCCTCTAGGCTCAAATCTGACCACTTCCATGGGACTAATGCCTCCTTTGCTCAGCATCCCTCCACTCTCAGTCAAGAACATGCCAATAAGCCCTCACCATGTTAGCTCACTGACACTCCACACTGTCCCCAGGGGTCTCATTTAGGGGATGAATGGCAATGGCTGCTGTGCGAGTTCCTATACTTTGAGCAGAGAACCAACATTTGTCGCCGTTGATGCGGACAACATTACGGTCGAGATGGACAGATTCTTTGTTACAACAAGTTAACAGCAAAGCCACAAACAAAAAGCCTTTATTTTCTCCTCCTTTTGATCTGAGGAAACACTAACCTGATAGCCTCCCCCCTTTTCAGGGGATGCTCACACTAACCCGATAGCCCCCCCCTTCTTGGGATGCTCCCCAGATGGCCTCCATCCCTCAAAGGATGGTAACTCCCTTGCAGTGGAATGAGAAAGAACAAGATGGGCCATTGATGGGCCCTATCAAAGGAAGGTAACTCCCTTGTGATTGAATGGAAGGAAGACAGGATGGGCCATCTCTGGTATCTCTTGTCCATGAGGTAAGAGGGGAACTAAAACCACTGAGCCATAGAGACAAAGCAGCTGCAAATTAGCCCAGATTTGAAGGACAAGGTGTCCGGGACTACAGGACTGAGTTTGGGCAGAAGTAAGGGTCAGCTAGCGAACACAGTGAAGAAGACTACGGGCCTTCATCTGCAGACCCCTGCCCACGACCACCAGGGAGCACTGCCCAAGTGTGACGGGAGGAATTTGGGGTGGGGGGCTATGTTAATGATTTCTCAGAACTAATTGTATTATTCCCTCCCTGTCCTCAGAGTAGTGATGCGTATGTATTAGGTTAGATAATGAATATGTAACATTTTATACAATAAAAGGGAGCCCCTTTTAGCTCCTGGGGTGCACGCATTTGGAGGAAATTATTCCCCCATGCGCCCAGCGCTGAATAAACATACCTACTTTATAATCTTACTGGTTGTAAAGTCATGATTCTGTGCCTCACTTTGTTCCTTTATACTTTTTCTACAGGGTGTACAGATTTTTCCGGACCGCCTACCAACCTGCCCCTTCATGTATGTGTTCATACACCGTATGTTCATGGTAATGAACTCTGGCCCTTCCCAGGGTGGAGAAGTTAATATGCATAAGCTCATCATGCAAGTGTAATAATATAAAAAGTTCCAAAGTTCAGGCTCCCAAGCTTTCCAGTATCTCTATCCACCTAAAACTAGTTCCAAGTGCAGGGTTATCAGTTCTTCCGACGTGTCTCTTTTCTTATTGGTTCAGAGTTGTGATGCTCTCTTACTGCAGTCAATAACCTTGCTCATCTTGCAGCTCCTCTTGTTCTTGTTTGCCCTCTCAGGGGTAGTTTGGAACCCTTTCAAGGTTGAAGCCATTCCTTCCCAGGCTCTCAGTCCAGCTGAGGTCCCCCACAAACATTAAACCAAAGAACTCATTTTACCTCTCAGGGTAAGGGAGAGTACTGGGACAACCTTCAATTCACCTGCTTCCATGATAATATGTTTTTGCAGATAGAGGGGAGGAAGAAAGTGGGGGTCAGCGAGAGAGGCCAAGACCACACACACCACTGCCACCATTTCAAGATTCTTGTGCTTCATGATTTGGAAGCAACAGATTATATCTTTCCTTCCACCTCTGTTTCAGAAAATAAAGCTTTGCTGTCAGTACTGCCCTTCATGTATTTTCTGAAGATTAAAAAGACACTGGAGAGAAAGCTAATTTTAATTAGTGTATAAAATCTTACACTGGAGTCTCGCTTCAAACCATGTGGCATCTCTGGTCCACAGATTTTCATTTTGAAGAAAAAAAGTAAGAGGTAAGCTACGTTGATAATGGAATCCAGAATGATTTACACAACTAGCTAGTCACAGATAGAGGCGTAAGTAGTTCTTGACTAACCAACAGCTGCAAGGGCTGCTGAAACAGCTATTTAAACAGGAGAATTCAGAAATTCCTCATGCTCTCACTTTCTTTCTTAGTAAATCCATAGGGGCATTTCTGAACAGCCACACAGCCATTTTAAACGCTAATTCCTTTTCAACTATGATTAATGACTGCAGGCACTAGAAAGTAACAGGTATCATATCTGTCGTCGTTTGAGCCTGGTCGGCAGCTAAACGCCCCGCAGTCGCTCACCCCCCCTCCCCCCACTTGGGAATGGGGAGGGAATCGGAGGGGCAAAGAAAGAGTCGCGGGTTGAGATAAAAACAGTTTAATAACAGTAATAGAATAATACAGTGACAGCAGTATCAACGGGTAATATACAATACAGCTGCTCACCACCCGCCTGCTCCCGGCCTGCGATCCCCAACACCAAGGCCCCACAGCCACACTCCCGGAAGTGGCCGCCCATCCCGACCCTCTCCTGCCTTTATATAGTGAGCACAGTGTCACGTGACATGGACTATCGGCCAATCGGGGCCCAGCCCTCCAGCTGTGCTCCCCCCGCCCCCGCACACAGGTGAGGGCACTGGGTCTCAGGGGGCTGCAGCTCCTCCCGCTGCCAGACCCACAGGAACTCTAGTCCAGCCCCAACCAGGGCATATTTCCGTCACCACACCCTTTGTCTCCTACCACCTGAAGTCTAGTATGCTTTTCCTCCACTGCAGCTTTCCAGAAAGTTTAGAATTGCATTATGAAAAGGCTTCAATCTTCATTTTTTACGCCCCAGCTCTCCATCCTTCCACACACTGAGTCACTTCTTCCTTAAGTCACTGAAACTTCCGGAACACTCTTCATTTGTAAAACACACACTGCTCAGATATCCTGTGTTACAAACACACACACACACCACACAAGTATGGTCCAACCAAGCATGTCCAAGATCCATCACGCCCAGAAGCAGCTGACACCAGCAGCCTGACACCTCCCCAGCAACCTGCCATCTAAGAGCTTTTTGAGCTGGAAATCCCACCTCTGCCTTGGTTTATTTGCAAGTACAATTTTAGATCAATTCATAGAGAGGCCATTTTCATGTAAAAAAAGGAATCTCAAAAGAATAGAGATTGAAATACCCATTAACCAGTTCCTCCTATGAAATAAAAATTGCTTTTGTAAAACTGCTCAGTATTACTTGGTCAAAAATACAAAAACCTCAAAAGCAAGTGCATGTCTCCACCCCTTTAGCCCTGGCATATCCAGTCAGCTTAAAAAGCCTTCTCCAGTGGACAGTTACAACAGAGAAACATGCCTTAGAATATATGGCTGTAGTCATAATTTTGTTTTTCACACCATCAGGCTACAAGGAAGAAAAAAGGTCTTCCTTTTGTTATTTTGTCGTGTCTGAACTGTTTTGTACTATTTACACCACAAAAAGATTTTGGTATTTTTGACACACATTTTGGGCAACCCCTAACAGCAGAATTCTAATGTGAATTCTATAAGGAAGTCTTTGCCATCTGTATGCAAATCTTATATATATTACTGTAAACTACCATATTTCTAGAGCAAATTTTGTTTCCTGGCATTGATAATAAGTTCGGCCACCTAATAATAAACACTTGCTGGTGTATGCCTTGCCACCAGCATCAAGTAGTGGGGAGAAGGAATACTAGATGAGATTATTTCAACTATTTTCCACATCCTACAAAGTGTACAGTTTACCTTTCCAATTTCAGAAGCCCAGGAAATGGAAATCTGGTTTGGCACTGCTGATGACAACCTAACTACAGATGTTATATTCAAGGGGCGCCCAGGTCTCTTCTGTTCAATTCCATTTTTTGGTGGTGGAGCATATCCCTATGGAAAGAAAGGACAAGGAAAGTGTTACCAAGTCTCCCCACTGTACTTTGGAACCTGACGAAACAGACTTGTTAAACAGCTCTATGGGAAGCAGGGAAATCTAGAAGCTCTCTAGGCTGGAGACTAAATTCAACTCTTAGAAATATCAGTCTTTGACAGTCTAATACCTTAAGTCAACCACAATTTTAAAGAATTTTTGGTTTAAAGTGGTTTTACTGAAGTGCTGAAAAGGTAGAAAAGAATGCAGTTTCGGTTCAGGTAAGTTCACTGGAAGAGTAAAAACTAACGATGCTTTGACCTTTTTTTTCCCCCCACCCTACTGTAAGAGAGTGAAACATCGTAAGCACACAGCCTTAGTGACAAACACACCAAGTCATGAAGGGTTAATTCAGCATTTCACACCCAGAAAACACTTCCTGGATTCTATTTAAGAAGCAGTGGAGCTCTTGGAACAAGATTGTACACATCTCTGGTGTCTGCTTTGCCTCTCATGAACTATACCTAGCCCCAGCAGCAGCAGGTTGTCACTGTATACTGCCAGGGCCCCTGAAGAGCAGCTGTACATCGAGTATTGCCTGTATTTACGAGCTAATAGGCTTTGCTGCTGTCTGCAGAAACAAAATACACTAGATACTGTTTGCTCAGCTTTGATGATGAATTTCATAACCTGGACAGCTTTTTCTCTGTAGTTTTATTTCCTATACGATGTATGTGAATTGAGTTGGGAGCCATCCAATTCCCTTTTGCTTCTAGCCAAGCACGTACTCTCCAGCATATTGTGAGCTGAAAGTACCTGTGCTATGTGAAGGAACATGTGGCCTAACTACAGCTTATTCATTCACCTCACCCTGTCTCCATCACTATGAAAGCAAGCCCGTCTAAAACAGCAACTCAAAGAATCTGTTTTGAGCTCTCACAGACAGCCTGCAGTCCACTCATCTGAAAAACCCGTCCTGCACCAGAAGGATGCCAGTGAGAGACTGCAGCCCTATGTCTTGCACAGAACTGACTGCCAGATTTTATTTAGTTCAAGACAGTAGTGTATGATACAAGAAACTCTCCCAAGAAGGGATATGCTGGAAAAACACACACACATATATTGTTTTACTTAGACAAACACACACATTCACAGCCTGGAAAAAGTTACTTTAAAAGACACAGCCTCTTCCACTCACTAGCCAAGTATACCATAAGATAATCACTGCCTTTAATCCAAGGAGGACTCAACAGTTGTCACATTTCCTACATTTCTAAAGCAGATCTGTTACCAATCCGTATGTTTCACCTGACCACCAAGCCCTGGCTGGGCCTCACCACTGCCCTTTATTAATTCCAGACAGGAGCGTTGCTTGTAGTGACAGAATAGGGACTCAGAGGTTCTACAGGCAGCTCTGCCAGGCCAGAGCAGCAGGCAGCAATTGCTGAAGAAATTGTGAGGAAGAATTGCAACATCCCACATGAACACCAGGAACAGTGGAAGAACAGAGGAAGAAAGGGGGGAAGGGAGTACTGAAGCAGAGACCTGCCTGTATCCTGTGGTGAGACAGCAGGGCCACCACCACCTATGAAGGTCTGTTGTGGAACAAATGCCCACATATGGTCTGTGGGGGGCCCCACACCATCTCAGGTAACCATGCCTGAAGGAGGCTGGGATCCTGTGGGAAGAAGCAGCTCCTGCTGTGGTGGTTGGGCACTGGCAGGACTGGAACACGCTGGGGTGACCCACGCTGGAGCAGCTCGGGCACAGCTGTGGCCCGTGGGGAGGACTCACACCAGAGAAGGTTCATGGAGGACTGTTCGTGGAGAAGGGAGGGGTGGGGGAAGGTGTTTTTTGGATGTGGTGGCACTTCCCACTGTCCCACCTTGTCTGTTAAGTGTTGTTTTTGTTAGTGTTTGTATTAGCAATGTTTCCTTCCCCCAACAAGTCTGTCTTTTGTCCATGACCATAATGGGTGAGCTATCCTTCCCTGTCCTTGATGGACTCCTTGAGCCATTTCTGCCTCATTCTCCTTCCCATTCCTGATAGGGGGAAGGGGTCAGTAAATGGCTGTGTGATGCTCAGTTGCCCTCTGGGCTCAAACCATGACACAGGGAAAGACAGAACAGTACTCAAGAATTGTACAAGTTGGCAATACAGGCTTGCATCACTGATTGATTATCTAATACCAACACTACTGAGCTGGACAGCACTGGTCCTTGAGGCAAAGAAGTTATTTTACATTTTCTGCAATAGAAAGAAACCACCAGAGGGATGCAAGCCATGACCAAATCAACAAAAAAGTTTGCAAGAGCACTTGGACTGAGACTTTACCTGTCATTCAGCTCATACTGAAGGAGGAAAGTAAGACAATAGTAATTTATCCACTTTCTCACCCAAAGTTTCTGCTAGAAACTTTAAAGAATTCTCTTATGATGTACAGAAGAACCTACAGGATTTAGATCTGAAGCAAAGCAGTAATCCAAGATTACAAACACTTTTTGCTACAACTGTGACATGTTATGCACAAAATGGATAGCATAACAGGACACAAACTGTATTAGCCAGACTGAGAATCAGCAGACATTGATATCCACAGGATAACTTCAGAACCAATTATTTTTGGTGGGTTGTTTAAGGAAAGGAAAACAATCTGCAGGAGGAGAAAATCCTCAAGTTTATCAGATAACATAACTGGCATTTACACAAAACACTGACCAGAAAACACATAAGAATCCTCTTGCACACTCAAGACAGAAGAACAGTGATGCAATGGTTAAAGAAGTAGGGGGAAGAGAAGTTAAAGTCTCATTTAAGCTGAGTAGAGGCAAAAAATAGCAGTCATGGTTGCGTATGGCAGGATGAAGGAACAGGACAACACATCAGACACACCACGGTGACAAGCTGTCCTGGGTTTGAGTGAGTGGTGGGTTTTTTTTTTGGTGGCAGGAGAGGGGGCTATAGGGGTTCCCGCAGCTCCAAGTCAGCTCCACCTCTGTTCAAAAACTGAGCCAATCAGCTGCACCTCTGTGATAACGTATTTAAGAAGGGACTTGGTGACAAGCAGTTGGACTTCAGAGGAGGAGTTGCTGCAGCTGCATGAACACCAAGGTCAGTGGAGGAACGGAGGAAGAAAGGAGGGGGGAGGTGTGCCGGAGCAGAGACCCCCCTGTATCCTGTGGGGAGACGGCAGGGCGGCCCCCCCCGCCACCCATGAAGATCTACGGTGGAGCAGACATTGATTTATGGCCTGTGGCTTCCACCTGGTTGATCAATGTGCTGTGCCCGAAGCAGGCCGGGGTCTTGGAAAAAGCAGTCCCGCTGCTGTAACTCAGCGCTGGGAGGATTGCAGCATGCGGGGGAGTCCCACGCCGGAGCAGCTCGGGAAGGGCTGCAGCCGTGGGAGGGAATCCAGTCGGAGGAAGTTGGTGACCCATGACGGAGCAGTGTGGGGAACGCTGCGGCCTATGGGAGGAACTCATGTCGGAGAAAGTTTGTGGAGGACTGTCTCCTGTGAGAGGGGGACCATGATGGAGCAGGGGTAACAAGTGCCCAAAGGTTCCCCCCCCCCCCCCCGAAGATGGAAGAAGCAGCAGCAATGACTGCACACACCCCACACACACCCCCCTCCATTCCCTGCCCCTGCGCCACTGGGGGAGGAGGTAGAGATATCGGGAGCAGAGCTGAGCCCGGGAAAAAGGGAGGGGTGGGGGAAGGTGTTCTCAAGATGTGGCAATGCTTCTCACTGTCCTACTCTGTTATGTGTTGTTAGTGTCTGTAATAAATGTATGTTCTTTTTTACTTCCCCTAACGAGTCTGCCTTTTGTTCGTGATCATAAAGGGTCATTTTTTCCCCCATCTGAAAAAGACGATTCACACCTCCTCTCTCCACACAGGATTTTTCTAAACCCACTGCTGGAAAAAAAAAAAAAAAGAAAACACACAAAAAAAACCCCAACCAAACAGTACTACTACTTTTTCCATCTTCTATAGCTTCCAGAACAATTTCAGAATGGTTTGTGTAAGACTTTCTCTATTCTATTGTACAGAGATGCCTGTTTCAGAGATTTTTAAAGAATAATGAGAGTGCTTTTCCCTTTCTGTATAAACTCAAGCCTTGAGGTGACCCTGCCTACATACTAACTTTTGCAACATCAGACACCAGTAAAGTGTATGACTGCCAACATGGTTCTGTTCCAGTATCATCAAATGCTAGAAACCCTAAAACGTGTCTGTTCTTCATTCCCACAATAAATTCTGCTCTAGCAAGACAGATGCAGACCAGTGTACAAACTTGTACACCAGAAGGCAATACCATTCCCTTGTATCAAGAAGGAGCTCAAGGCAATCACAAATATAGATAAGCCTAAACAGTGAGGTCTACTACCAATCAAGTCAAATAAACTCAGTTTGAAGACATATGAGGAGGGTTTCACATGCACACACTAGTTTGTTTTTGACATACTCTGTTGTATTAACTGCAATACATGAGGTTTGCTATAGGTGGTTAAAACAAAATTAATCCATGCAGTGGCTGTAGCGTGATTAATAGTAGTAGTGGTTATCTCGCACAGCAAATGTACAAACCATGTGCCTAATATTAGTAACTAGAGAAATTTGAGCAATAACAATAAACAGCTTGTTTTAGCAAGCTAACAGTACAAAAAACCACACACACAGCAAGTCACAAAGCAGCCACAAATATGTACAAACAAGCTTACCGGCAATGGAAACAGTTTCCCATTTACTTTGATACATAAACTATTAGGGAAATTATCTTCTTGAGGGCAGCTTGTCTCTGCTAGGCATAACCTGTATCCCCAAAAAGAGAAAGCAGCATTTAAGTGCCACCACATTCGTATGTCACCCTGAACATCTAGACTCATATTACATTAGACAACTAAGTTAAGAGAACACTAAGAAAAATATACCTTAGCTGAACTTGGACTGTGTAATCTCTCCTGCCCCCTGGCAAGAAGTCCCTGTAACAAAAATAAAGAGAGAAGTGCCCATTTAGACAGCAGATCTCATATTCCTGTCATACACGGAAAGAACTGGCACCCCTACCCCAATATCACTGCACTTTGTTCTTGTTTTTCTTTGACTGAGCTATAAACAAGTCTTACAAATTACACCTCTGTTTAGCTACTACAAGTTAAGCAGGACTTTAAGATCAGAATCCTCTGTCAAGAGTTTATAGTAACAATAAGGTAGGATGTTGCCAGAGACAAAAAAAACCCTATGAATTCTCTTGGCTTATACCACAGGTCTTGCAACAGCATGAACCCTGGGACAAAAGATAAAAGCAGCCTTCCATTCCTGCAGCTAGGAAACATGCAGGGAAGAAAAGCTTACCACCTCTCTAAATAGTCACAATTATTTGGAACCAAGTGACTGTTAACTCTTTAGTGGCATAGGATTTACCCCAACTCCACATAAATTCTGTGCATAATAGTTCCTTAAGAAAACAGAACACATAAGCTCAGCATAACCTCGGTAAAGATCATCATTCTGTATTTGCAAGCTTATGCAATGCATCAGATGAAGCTAACTCCATACGTCCTTCTGAAATTTTGCAAAAGTTTACCTGTACTATGCCACACTTATTTCTTACCTGGAAATACAGATTTCTCTGACCTGCTGAGGTGTTAACGCAAAGATAAAAAACTTCTCTTGGAACCTTTGAATACTGTTCTGCACTAGAAAGAGACACAAAAGAGGTTTTACCATGGTGATTGAAATAATTGAGTAAAACAGGATCTGCAACTGAGTTCTTCCTGAAACAAGACATGTCACTTAATATAATCAAATTGTGGTTGAACTTCATGTAACTGTCAACAGGAAAGCAATGGAACAAATCATTCATTCAACTATATTCAGATGGCTTAATATCACATTACACTTCGGCACTAAAGAAGCTTGGCAAGCCACATCATAATCCTTCCTCCCAAGGGAGAAAGGTTCAAACACACACACAACAAAATATAACACTGGATACCTGACAAAAAGAGTACCACAGAGATGTTTACAACTGTTTTAATGTACTACAAGAAGAGAACGTGTGCCAGAAATTATTAATGGATCACTGGAAAATTACTCAATTCAGAAATAGCTAAAGGTAACTAAGCGTTTGGGGAGGAAAGGAGGGAATGCAGCCAGCAAGACTTCATGACTGGGAATTATCATCAGGAGCATTTGGCAAAAAAATAAACAAACACAACTTTCATATCAGAACTCTACTTGTCTGTCAATGATGGGAAACAGTAATATTTTCGTGTTAGGGGTTCACAGTATGTACATGTTACTTTTCTACTTTCTTTCAACTTGAGAATTTAGAAATCTTGACCTGAAATAAAGGTAGATTGGACTCATCCAACAGTTTAAAGTGACCAGCAAGGAGGACAAAAGCAAAAATAGCACAAATAAACCAGACAAATCTGGAAGATCTAGCTTGTCTTATACACTGTGACATACAGAAGATGATCCCTATGCTCAGAAAACACAAAGGATACAACCACAAAATAGAACCCAAGTGGAACAAATACACACACACACCCCAAGTTGTTCAAACAATTCAAAACAGCTACATTGTGCACATATGTGCACATATACACCCTAGACAGTATTTTATGTTTTAAAGTAATACTGGAGCATGTATAAAAAGGATCATGGAAATATGCTGTTATTGAGGGTGGGTTAAAACTAAATCCCACACCTACACCCGTGTGCTGGGTTTCTGTGGCATGATTTTTTTGGTAGAGGGGGCTACAGCTGTGTCCCCTGTGAGAAGCTTCTCGGAGCTCCCCCAGCTCCAAGTCAGCCCCACCTCTGGCCAGGGCTGAGCCAATTAGCAAAGGTGGCTGCACCTCTGCAATAACATATTTAAGAAGGGACCTGGGCAGCGGAGCAGGGATGATGTTGGGACTTGTGAGGAGGAGTTGCGAGAATGACAAACACCCAGGCCAGTGGAAGGAAGGAGAAGGAAATGGGGAGCTGCGCCAGAGCAGAGACCCCTGTATCCCATGGGGAGACGGCAGGGCCCCCACCACCACCCATGGAGGTCCGTGGCAGAGCAGAGGTCGACCTGAAGCCCGAGAAGAAAGTGACTCTGGGACAGGCGGCTGTGCTTGCAGTAAGCCAGGAGCCTGAGGAAATGAGACGCCCCTGCTATTGTAGCTTGGTGCTGGCAGGACTGGAACACGCAGGGGGGACCCACGCCAGAGCAGCTCGGGAACGGCTGCGGCCCGTGGGGAGGACTCACACCAGAGAAGGTTCGTGGAGAACTGCCTGAATTGAGAGGGGAGCCCCGTGGAGCAGGGGAGGGATGTGTGGTGTTCCCCCCAGCTCCCGAGCAGGAAGGAGCAGGAGCTGACTGTGACCCCCATCCCCTGCCCCTGTGCCGCTGGGGGAGGAGGGGGAGAGAAGTGGAGCAGAGCTGAGCCCGGGAGAAGGGAGAGGTGGGGGAAGGTGTTTTTTGGATGTGGTGGCACTTCCCACTGTCCCACCTTGTCTGTTAAGTGTTGTTTTTGTTAGTATTAGTTATGTTTTCTTCCCCTAACAAGTCTGTCTTTTGCCCATGACCATAATGGGTGAGCTACCCCTCCCTGTCCTTGATGGACTCCTTGAGCCATTTCTGCCTCATTCTCCTTCCCATTCCTGATAGGGGGAAGGGGTCAGTGAATGGCTGCGTGGTGCTCAGTTGCCCTCTGGGCCTAAACCACAACCACCTGCTCTTGTGCTCTCATATTAGCGCAAAAGAATGCCTGCACTCCTTCCTTTTAAAGAGTTGCAGTGAAGCAGACTATATTCCTACCTCTCTGACCTACTTGTCTATTTGGTTTCTGAATTCTTAACTCTCAAACACACAAAACTTGTTTGTTCCACATCCCAGTCACCCAGGTCTACCAAATGGGACTATAAGCTATACATATCAATCTAAAAATATTAAATAAATGAAGTCTCATTTCCAAATTTGCTTATGAATCCATGTTAAGAGTGATTTTCAGCCAGTGTTAATATCCTTCCAACATAAGGACCCATTATTTGCCTATCAAGTCATTCCTCACATCTCATTTCCCTACTCCTCTTCGCAAAAATCCAAGTTGTAGGTCTGGCTGCTGCCATCTTCAGCTGTGCTCTGGAAAGAGTTTGAAGGCAAACAAGTAATCAGTTACATTAATCTTGTCCCTCTTGCCCATGTCATAAGAGGACTCAAATGTTACAGAACTAGATAATCCTCACTCCTATGAAAACCGGGCAACCTGCAATGAAGAGCCTACAGTCTTCAAGAGAAAAAGTAAGCCAGGACATCATGGCGCTGACAAGATTATCTCTGTAAACGTAATAGAAGAAGGAGCCATAGAGCTGTCTAAGACCACAGCAGGTATGGTACCATTACACGGGTTCAATATTAAACTCTTCCCTAACAGGATGTCACAACCACAAAGAGAAGTGACAACAGGCATTGCAAATAATGCTTGTTAGTAATGTTTGCTGCTTTAGGCACCAGAAGATGACCAATGATCAGTATACATCTCACTGAGGTACAAGTCACAGCTCAAAAGACTCTATTATCAGTTGAGAAACTGAAATGTTTAAGAGGATACAAACAGCTTGCAAAATGATGACATGATTCTAAACAATATTACTAAATAGTTAGGGAATGTTTTCTACCATGTAAGGTAAGACAAGTTGAATTTCAGGACAGAAAACAAGTATTTCCAAATAATTAAGTATGTTTAAGAGTGAGGTGTTTGAGGAAGCTAACCTGGAATCTCACTTTATCTGGAAGACAAAGGCCAACTCCACATTTTAATATACAGTATGACAACAACCCACAGGCTGAGAAACCTTTACTAATTCCAGTACAACACTGAACCTTGCTGCACAAAGTATCTATTTCAGTGTCAGATGTCAGAACCTCCAGAACTGATGAAGTGAGATAAGCATAAACTAACAAACCAGTCAACTTGTTCTCTTTATGTTGTTGCAACTTATTAGTTACTGACCCTGAAATCCTATTCCTGTTGGCCCTACACGGATGTGTGCCTCACAGGAAGAGACTTCAGGTACAAATCTTTCACCCATGAGTGGAGGTTCAGACTAGGGATTAGGAAGCATTTGTTTGCTGAGTGGGAGGTCAGACACTGGAACAGGCTTCCTAGAGATGTGGTCAATGCCCCGAGCCTGTTAGTGTTTAAGAGGCATTTGGACAATGCCCTTTACTAGCACTCTAACTGTTGGTCAGCCTTGGAGTAGTCAGGCAGTTAGATGATCACTGTAGGTACCTTCCAACTAAACTATGCTACTCTATTATTTAATATTCAAAAGACAAAAAGTCTTTAATCATATAGTATTTACAAAAGAAAACACTATTTTCTGAAGTGTGGCTTGACACTTCTGGGGACAAGTGGCGAAGCGGGAAGGGTAGAAATGAACAGGGAAAGGATTTTATACTTTTCTGCAGCTGTAAAAAAATACTTAAGTCTGGACTTAGTACCTGTCATGAGCAACACCTATTTTATGAATTAAACAACCTTCAGAGTTATTAAACACTTACCTAGACTTGTAGGTTTTATGAGCACATCAAGTACATCATAAAAAGGTAGGCTTTTCAGTTGAACATCAGGATGAACAGGTGGAATCGGAGGGGATGGCTGCTGCCTCTCAAAGCGTGGTTTACTGTCTTGGAGAATGACAGAACTGATAGGTGAGGAAGAAGACTGAGCCATGACTGAAGTAGAAGGGATGGGGTGAGCACTAGCAACAGCCACTTCAGGCTCGACAGAAGAGGAATTACTTTCAAAAGTGAAAGTCACAGATTTTATAGATGGTAAATCTGAATGTCCTTCAGTCAGCGTTGGATACCGACACCTATAGAGTTCTCGTATTTTTAGCTGAACTGCCAGGCTGCAGCCACTCTTCAGTAACTGCAGTGCCCTCATCAGGAGGTCATGTTTCCGCCCACTTTTATTACGTCCAGCAAATCCCAGCAACACTTGTAGTTCAGAAACACGAAAACTGGATACCATATTCTAGAAAGAAAAGAAAGATACACACAGGTGAACCAAGAGTATCCCAGGCAGGCCCTTCTGAGGAGCATGGTGAAGCATCATCATTCCAGTTTCACACTTGCCGTCTTCAGTACTACCCACACCCTTACCTGACACAGGAGTACAGTTAGTTTAAAATGAAAAGAGTGTCCATGATGAAGGTTGAGTTTAGTTGTGCTAATAATTTCAAAGACTTCTAATTGCTTCCAACAACAGTAACAACAAAACCTTAATGCAACGCATGCAGTGCTAGCTTAAATTCACAGGCAGAAGCAGAAGCTCTAACACAAAATCTCTGTCTCACTTCATGCAACAACCAAAAACAAAATAATCAGGGGAATCAGTATTATCACCTGTCTTCCAACACATTTTAAGAAATAAAATGCAGAAGTGTTTAAGTTCTGCACAGTTTATTCTGAAACATGCTTTATTTTGGGCAGCATGTCAAACGCATGCATGAACAGAGACAGGTACATCAGGTTTCACTCTTGAAAGGATGGCACAGAAAGGTGAGAACTTTTTTAAAAGCTACGTTACATCATACTAACAAATTGTTTAACCAATATAACTGATTCTTTCAGAACATACCACAAAAACCCCTGTCCTTTTCATATCACTTTCTGGTATTATGGGACACAAAGATCTCTTCAAAGGAAATACTACTAGTTACCTGGTTACCAAAGTTAGTTGTGGAAGACCTTGAGGATTAAACTATTTAGTTCATAAACAGAAGGATTCTCATTAAAAAAAATAAAATTTTAAAAGCCCACTATGCAAGAGGAAGCAATCTTCACGCCATACCACAAACAGTAAATTAGCATAGGCACATCATCTCACATTTCTGTGAGCAAGCTCTCCTTCCAGAGGTATAAAATTGTCCAGAATTCTTCTAAGCACCTTCCTTCCTATTTTTGTGGGACTCTTCCATTTTAACAAGGAGGTTGAATTTTAAAGATTAAAGAACACCTGACTTTAATCTGTACTGCTGTATCGTACCAACTCCAGACAGAAGGTATGAAGTAGTAGACATCTGGGATCATAAAAGATGTTTTTAAAAACAGTTCAAAAGTGCATTGCTGACTATTAAATAGTAGTCCGGTATACAACATTTAAAGCTTTGGGCACTGATTTCAGAAGGGATGCAACTCAAAACAGTGTCTTCAGTTTACCTTCCCTAATCCTTACCATACAGTTATAGAGTTTACACCCATGTTTTCTATCACAGATCTGATCTCAGCCGAGCTTTTAACACAACTATGATACACCCATGCAATGAGTCACCAAAAAAGTCTGAACTCCCCCTGTGTTCCTAGCTGTTTGCTCCCTATTCTCTCAGTGTTGACAAAATTGTTTTTACGGTAAAATGGATCAGTGAATTAAGCCAGATGAAAACTGAACCTAGAATCACAGAATCATTTAGGTTGGACCTTTAAGATCAGAGTCCAACTGTTAACCGCACACTGTTAACCGCACACTGCCAAGTCCACCACTAAACCATGTCCCTAAGCACCACAAAAAGTAGAAGTCTACACAAACTTTTAAATACCTCCAGGGCTGGTGACTCAACCACTTCCCTGGGCAGCCTCTTCCAGTGCTTGGCAACCCTGTCGGCAAAGAAGTTTTTCCTAATACCCAACCTAAACCTCCTCTGGCTCAACTCGAGGCCGTTTCCCCTTGTCCTATCCCCTGTCACCAGGGAGAAGAGACCGACCCCCCCGGCTCCAGCCTCCTTTCAGGCAGTTGTAGAGAGCCATCAGGTCTCCCCTCAGCCGCCTCCTCTCCAGGCTGAACCCCCCCAGGTCCCTCAGCCGCTCGTGACAGAACTTGTGCTCCAGACCCCTCACCAGCTCCGCTGCCCTTCTCCGGACACGCTCCAGCACCTCAGTGTCTGTCTTGTGGCGAGGGGCCCAAAGCTGAACCCAGTATTGGAGCTGCGGCCTCCCCAGTGACAAGTACAGGGGGACAATCCCTGCCCGAGGCCTGCTGGCCACTATTGCTGACACAAGCCAGGATGCCAGTGGCCTCCTTGGCCACCTGGGCACGCTGCCCACTCATATTCAGCCGGCTGTCGACCAGCACCCCCAGTCCTTTTCCACCAGGCAGCTTTCCTGCCACTCTGCCCCAAGCCTGTAGAGTTGTGTGGGGTTGTTGTGACCCAACTGCAGGACCCAACACTGAGCATTTGTTGAACCTCGGACAATTGGCTTAAGCCTGTCCAGATCCTTCTTGTACCATTACCAGACAGCAGAAGTGAGCAGCCAGGACCTGACTTCAAGGGCCACATTATTCATGCATATCAAAACAACCATCTAAAATACTATGTTAGTACATTCATCAGACACACGCCTTCCTCATTGTTGAGGGGATGAGGTTATCCCATTTCAGATACTGAATTTCAACATTTCCAGACATTCTACCAAGTAGCTATAAGGGAGCTAACCCAACAGCCTTCAAAGTGGTATTCCCCCAACACTCCATCTATGAACACACCACAGATGCCACCGTCAGTGAAAGCAGTGTCACAAGGTGTTGACTGGCTCACCCTAACTTCAGAAGAGACCAACAGCAGGTGTCACCTTAATTTCATCCCAGCAACTTCTCTCAACACTAAAATGATACAAGAAGAGAGAAGATACAGAACTCCATCCAGTTTGCAAGCTGCTGGAGAAGGTTAGTTTCCATCCGCCATCCCCCTGCTCCTTTTCCTTAGTCTCACAGTCAGACAGGGTGAAGAAAATAAAGTGTTTCAGTATTCATAAAAAATAGCTTGAAGTACTATAAAAACTTTATAATCACACCACATAAAAGAGAAATTGTGTTAAAAGACAATACTGATATGCAAGAATTTACTGAGAACTTCACGGTGCGTGCTTCCATAGATAGTTGCATAAGCTTGATAGCAGCACCAGCTCCTTTATTTCAGTTGCAGGCAGTAAGCATGATTTTGGATTTCATAATCAGAATGCAAATGAATAAAACAATCCTTTACATTGAGATTAAGGAAACAGCATGTATTGCAAAATACTGTCTATTACCCTGCTTGCTGCCTTCTGTGCATTCCTGCAAGTTAATCAAGGTGAAATGTGCAGTCAATCACACTTCGCAACAGCTAACATTTTATGCAGAAATTCCACAAACTAGCACTTTGTTACAAGATGGATTTAATTTTATTAGAAGACACAGGCTGGCTTCAATACCATAGTCAGCAAGATTTTAATTTGACACCTCCATTAAAAGCACTTGGGAGTATAAAAAATACATAGTTTTGTCCATCAACACAAAAATCTTACATATGCTTTTGAAATAAGCCTTCCAAATTTGAGTTTTACTGGAAGCAACAGCTTTTGCAACAGTTTCCCCCTAAAAGTGATTCTACATTCCCTTTAAAGCAACAGCCATGTGCATGAAAACACAGCTAGCCTTATCTATGCATTTTAGCTTATTACTCCATTTCCAGATATATCAAAGTAGACACTCATTATAATCAACAAGGTTCTAATGGAGGTATAACATATACTTTAGCAGCATTTATAATCATGGTGCAAGATCAGTATTACTTCCAGTAAACCCTATCAAATTATTTTCTTTAGGGGTTCCAGCAATATTGCAGAAGACTGCAGCCGAGCTATTAACATGTTTTTCACATCACTGAATTAAGATTAGACATTTAAGTTGCATCATGTAAATGCCATCTATCTTCTCTTAAGAGAAGTTCTTTACAGCTGCACAGCCCAATAAAGAGCTTTAACTCAGAAGACCAAAGCCATTTTATTTTTAATGTTTCTCCATGAACACAAAGAGTAGTTTGACAGAACTTTAAAGGAGGAAATCAGACTCAGTAATTCAAGTACTTTTATATGCCAGAAACACTTTTTCCCCTGAAATTCATACTTTAAGGTTGTAAGAAATTTCACATGTTTTTTTGTTTTTTACTGTTAAACTATAGCAACCATGATTCATAAACAGGAATATTGTTCTAAAGCATTAAGCCGTAGGTGTATCTGGGATGGCATTCATTTCACAAGGACCATGATGTTGAAGAGTCCAGGAAATGCTGACACACTGCTGAAATTAAGGGCAGGCAAGTTTCAGAGCAAAGGGGCCAAACATATCTCTCAAACAAGAGGTAGGTGCTTCTCCACAGTCCCCTGGCCAGAGCTACCTGAAAATTTAACAGTCATTGTATTCACATATATGAATGAAAGGTAACTAAGAATGCCTGTTAAATTCTTGCCATATATCTACAATAAGCACCAATGACTGTAGCTTCTGGGGCAACTGAAACTGCTCAAGTAGTAAACCCAACAGTTGAACCTGCAAAAGCAACTCAAATCAGCTCAAAATTTCTAGTCAGTCTCCACCTAAGAGCTCTGCTTCAGCCCCACTGGCTTCCAAACAGTTTTTGAAGTATCTGAAGGCTATATAGGAAGGGGACACACCACAGACCAACCCCACAAATCCTCACTCCTGACTTTAAGCCCTTTCCTGGACATTCATAGCAGAGAAGCACATTTGTGACATCCTTTGCAGTAATTTGCATACAGGGTGATTTACAGCAGGCTAGAAATGTGCAATACTGGTAAGAAAGAGCAATTCATGCCTTGGGATGGTTGAAGACCTCTGTGATGATCCTGAATACAAATACAAATACATTCTGGTAACTGATGTAACTACAGATAAAAAACTGCAAGTCCTGGGAAAGAATGAAGATGTCAGTAATTAAATCTGTATTAGTACAGAACAGTAAGAGCAGCTCTGAAGAACAGAACAGTTGGTGCAAACAGCATGACCATCAGGTCCTCAGCATTACTGGGATTTTTCTTTGGACTAACTCTGACTCCTAAATTAAGCATTAGTCTTCAAAGTTGCATGCACTTAATATGTGAAAAACCTGTATCAAACACCTTCATTTCACGTAAGACACTCAAAACAAAGCTTGACCCATTTCATTGCAGCCTCATTTTTTAAGTACCATAAACTAC